ATAACCGTCATGTGGCAGTGAAGACACTTGGTAGCGTTGTGTGTGGCATGTTGAACAAGGAATGAGAGGTGACAGGAGTGAAGAGCGAAAGGGAAATTAGGGGAGTGGAAGGGGACGTGGGGAGGGAATGGAAGGTTTGTAGAGGTGACAAGACTCACTCAGCCTTCTTCCCTCCATGCCTCACCCCAGCAGGCAGAGCAGTCACCTAGAACGTGTCCCTAATAACAGACCACAGGTCCTTCCCCTAAAGCAATTGAAATGACATGCCAGGCGGTCCTGGGAGTGGGGGCGAGGGGAACGAGGGGGACCAGGATGGATAGACACCCCGAGAGTGGCTCCGATAGTGGCTCAGCTCTGAGGACGGGAGGAGGAAAAGGTGACCAGGACAGACAGACAACCTGTGAGTGGCTCTGACAGAGCCTCTGAGGACGTGAGGGGGACAAGGGAACCAGGACAGACACCCCGAGAGTGGCTCCGACAGAGCCTCTGAGGACATGAGGGGGACGAGGGGACCAGGACAGACACCACGAGAGTGGCTCCGACAGTGGCTCAGAGGACGTGAGGGCGACGAGGGGACCAGGGTGACGGGCAGGAAGCGGCGCAGACGTGGAAGCCCGAGCGCGGGAGAAAAGGCGGGAAGACAGAGTCCCATTTGCAGGAGATGAAGAGAGGAGTGGAAACGTACAGGATGGGGACACGGCGGGGCAGCTGCGCTCTGCGACAGAGCTCAGTACGTCCCCTCATGGGAGGCGAGCTGAGCAGACGGTGATGTCCAGAAGAGGAAGAACTGCGAAGGCGAAGGAAACAGGTGAAAGGTGTGATGAGCAGGTTGAGTGGACCAGACATGGCGTCCATCAGGGGACAGCGGGAGGTGCTGTGATGGCCCAGCAGGAAAGACGTGAGTGACACTCTGACTGCTGCCCTGCTGGGCGCCTGTGTCTGTGACGCGGCCATGCCCAGCAGGCTGGTGATGGAGCATGTGCTCTTGGTCAGCATCCTGCAGCACATGCTGGCAATGGAGGTTGGGGCTCACTTCTTGGAGGCCCTGGTGAGGAGGTTCGAGGACGTCTGTGGGACAGGCAGTGAAGGGAAGGGACGCGGTGACTGGGGCACAGCAGAGCAGGTCCACAGTGAGAGCAGGAGCTTGAGCCAGGACGTCAATGAACACACTGCTTCCTTCCTGCAGAAAGTCTTGTGTGAAGGAAAAAATGTCAGTTGGACTAAACAATGTGCTTAATGCCTTAGTCGGTTTACATCTGATGCGAGCTGATCTTGCGGACCAGGCGGTTCACAGACAGGCAGCCAGTGTATGGACCACGTTTCAGTAGCACAAACGTAAGGGACATGAATAAGAATTAATTATGTGTGCCGCTGGCAAGATTAGGAGAAGACACCACTGCAATGGTGCCCTCTACCTGCAATAGTGCCCTCTAACGTCATTATGTCATGTGTACAGTAACCCTTGTTTGAAGTATAGATGAGTTCAAGCTGGTTGTTCTGCAAAAGATAAATTTCTTTAAACAATCCCATTTTTATATCTTTTATTACTAAAACAATAAAAATGTCTTTCTCTATGAAAATAAATAAATAACAGGCAAAGCTGAGTGTCGTATTATGGCTGTCGTTGCCTCAGAGTTAAGCCCTTCTATTTAGAGGGTGTGAGTGTCTCACATGCTGATAGTTTGTCACCCTAAGGGACAAGTCACAGTGTTTTCAGGAGCTGGGAGGTATGGCATTACTCTGCTCCATAAAATGACTGACATTGGGAGAGGATTGTGTGTGGGCGGGGAGGGAGAAACAGGAGCTGGAAGCCTCCCTTGCTGCTTCTGATAGATCTCTCAAAAGTAAAGGGAACTGGTGGTCAGAGCCATCTGGCTGGGGCTGGCAGACCCAGCAGTCAGTTAAATTGAAGGTTCTTGCAACAGTTTAGAAGAGCTGCACCAGAATGTTCCTTTGGGAGAAAGGTTCCAGAGGCAGTTCTAATAGACAAAAGTCATTAATGCCCTTCATCCCTTGTACAACCCTAGATGCTGGGCTGTTGCTCCTCACCCACCCTCCACAATACCTAAGTGTCCCATTCCTGTAACTGTAACTTTTATCGTTTTTCCCTCAATTATACTCTACACTCACCTAAACCTTTCATCTAGAAAGATCAGGTGAAAGATGGACAAGAACGTTTTTACAAAAGTAACCAGA